GAATATCCTCAGTGGGATACTCTACGGATAAAAAGAACGGCGACAAAAAAAAATCCTGAACTTCATTCTATGTTCTTATTAGTAATGATAGTAAGATTGATATTTTGATACAAATATATTTATATTGTTGGCTAAAACAAGCAATTATGCTGATAATGTTAAGAACCAGGGTTCTCAACATGAGAAAAGACATTGAAGTAAATTGAACCAAAGGTTTTATGTAAAAATCCAGTAATCAGAGGCGCCTGGGTGGCTCAGTCGGTCAAGCAGCTGGCTTTGGCTCAGGTCATGATCCCCGGGTCCTGGAATGGAGCCGTTGGGTCCTCGTTGGACACCCTGCTCATCCGGGAGCCTGCTTCTGCCCCTCCCCCCTCACGCTCACACACATGTGCACACGCGTGCACTCTCTCTTTCTCTTTCTCTCTCTCTCTCTCAAATAAATAAAATCTTAAAAATAATCTTCCTGGTGCTATCCAATGAAAAGCTCTAGAAACAATGACAACCAGCAGCAGTGAACACTACTAAAACCTAGATCGTGGTCTTCAAATATCATTCCTCATCTACAAGAAAGTAACTAAAGCTAATAAGTGAATTTGGCAGTCATAGGATATAAGGTTCAATTTAATTTCTACATATTACTAATAAACAACTGGAAACTGAAATTTAAAATACCATTTACAGTAATATCCAAAACTGAAATACTTATTTTAACAAAATATGTATGAGACCTGTACACTGAAACCACAAAACATTGTTGACAGAAATTAAAGAAGATCTAAATAAACGGAAAGGTACACCATGCTTATAGATGGAAACAATCAATATTGTTAAAATGTCAATGCTCCCCAAGTTGGTCTATAGATTCAATGCAATTCCAATAAGAATTTCAGGAGTCTCTTTTGTAGATATTGACAAGCTAAAACTAATATGGAAATTCAAAGAACCTAACAATCATGAAAAAGAAAAACAAAGATCAAAGACTTACACTACTTCCTTTCAAAATTTCCCATAAAGCGAGCATAACAGAGATCAATGCAACAGAATAGAGTCCACAGATAGACCCGTGCATATGTGGTCAACTGATTTTCAAAAATGATGCCAAGGTAATTCAATGAAGGAAAAAAACAGTCTTTCAAACAAATGGTGTGAAAATAGGAAAAAAATGAAACTCAATTCTTACCTCACACCATACACAAAAAATTAACTCAAAATGGATCATAGACCTAAAGATAATAGCTAAAACCATAAAATTTTTAGAAAACATAGGGGAAAAAATCTTTACAACTTTGGGATGGTGAAAGATACTTTCAGACATATAAAAGCAGAAGCCTTAAAAGAAATAATTGATAATCTAGACTTTCTGAAAACATAAAACTTCTGCTCTTTGAAAAACACAAGAGGGAAATTAAATTAAATGGCAAGCCACAAACTGGGAGAAATATTCACAACACATATACCTGTCAAAAGACTTGAATTCAGAATATATATAAAAAAGAAACCTTTACAACTTAGTAATAAAAACACAACCCAACTTTTTTTAATGGGTGAAAGATGTGAACAGATACTTTCACCAAAGATATATGGTCAATCAGCACACAAAAAGATGCTCACAGTCATTAGTTATCAGTGAAATGCAAGTTAAAACCAGAATGAAATACCACTACACACCCATTAGAATAGCTAAAATTAAATACCATTTATCATTCCAAGGCACCAAGCCTAATCCATGTGTGGGGTAGAAAATATACAAGATGAGCTTGGAACAGCTTGTTGTACCAGAAAGCAAAGATGTTATCAAAACCTAATAATGGGAACACATCAAAAAACAAAAAAACATGAGCCAGCTGGAAGGGGCTCCCATTGGTCAAGATGAGATGATTTGATCATCAAAAGAATTATGATTCCAAATGATTTTTTTTAAAAGACATCTTAAAAAAAAAAAAGAGTAAAGAAAATACAAGAATGTATGGATACAATGAAAGGTTGCTGGGCACTAACTAATAACTAAAGGGAAAGAAATGAGAATTTATTATTGCCTTTCTAGTATGAACAGAATTTCCTGGAAATTAAATAGCTCTAGTAGATAAGAGTTCTATATTTGAATTAGAAAATCAACATTTTGCAACTCCTGAGAAACTTTCCAATAAAGGGAGCAGGTTGGACTCACTGATCAGTCTTAGCATCCACTAAAGGTAAGGCAAGATATTACATGCTTTTGCATATGAGGCAATATGAAGTACACAGTGCCACCTATGAAAAAGTCTTTAAAAAACAAACTTAAAACCTCAGACCTGAATCTAATCAAGGCTGAAGTCTACAGGAAACATGGAGGACATAGGAAAAAGTTAAGTAACAGTAAGAGGAATATTCAGTCAAAACCAGAATTTGGGACTTTCTATGGGACAATTAACCTGCCTTTGTAATCAAGTCAATAGCATTTTTTTTGACAGTTGACATTCTTTTATTAACAATCAAAAAACTTCACACAATAGGAAAATAAATGTTTCTCTAATGAATAATTAAATGAAAACTATCCAGGACCTTATAGGATTGTTAATGCATCCCAGGTTTGATGTGTACCTTAGAAGACAGGACATCAGCTTGCCCAATCATTAGGTACGACTAAAAATGAGAAACAGTGATTTATAAAAGATTTACCTAACGGCTTTCCAAAACAGTAACTCCCCTGCTTAAATTAAAACAGGAAATAAAATTTTCATTAGACCTAGTTTTAGATGACTCACAATACACATCAATCTTAATTTTATCGTCTTAATGTTACTTTTTTAAAGGTAGTCACCAGAAAACTCAAATCTCATTTTAAGATCATGAATTTGAGGTGTGCAATAAAACTTATAATTTCTCAACATCAAAGTTTAATTATTACACAACAGTTCAAGCAGCAGATTCTACTTCAGACAGTATTTGTCTCATGCCCTGTTTTCTTGCAGCATTAATCACGTGATGGTGTTCGAAGCACATTTAAGACTAGAGCAGGCACTGCTGAGTAGTCACAAAAATCCCTCTTGGATGAACAATGAATGCTTGGTTCATTTCAGAAGAAATGGCTTTTACCTTTTCTATTATGAGAAACAGAGCTAAACAAAATCTTGAAGTCTCATTTCCTGCTGGATGATTAAAAGCTTTATCTGTAAATTGTCTTAGTCTCTTAAAATCTATCTGATGGGAGGAAAAAACAAAACCCTTAGGGAAGAACAGTGTGCTTTCCCTTGTTCTCGCAACATAAAATCAGAGCAAAAATAGAGTGCCATAGAAATTTCAACATTGAATTTTTTTGAAATCTTAAAGCTTAATAAAACTCAAAAAGTTTTATATTAATCAGTAATCTCTGCATACCTGCTAGTTCAATACAAACCAGGATCTGGCAGACTACTTGTATTCAAAATGCCATCTTTCAAAAAGGTTCTACTTTTCTAAATAGTCCATTTAAAGAGTTCACTGCCTTGCGTACACATATATGTGTGTGTGTGTGTATGTGCGTATACGTAAGCGGTAAGCACAGGACTCTCATTGCACTCCATGAAAGTCACTTCACTGTGCTAGATGAAGGATGGCAATCCTAGTCTCCACAAAGTGTCTTCAACCCACAGGCATACACACAGTTATCACTACTCTCATCAACACTGCTGACAATTCAGGAAGCCTAAATACTTTCTAATTGAATTCTAAAAGAAAAGTGCCTTAATTTTTTTAAACTTCAGTCTTCAATATTGAAACTGCTAAGTTACTCCATTTTTCCATGCAAAAAAAAAAAAAGAAAAGAAATAGAATCAACTTGGGGAAAAAATAATATACTAACTTGGGAAAACATCCACTTACTAAACAGGCTTAAGAAAAAAACCTATATAGAAAAAGTATTCCCAAAGAAGGTAAAATCTATGTGTGTTGCTCACCCCAGGATTATTTGAATAAATAACAATTAGTAACCGGGGCGCCTGGGTGGCTCAGTCGGTTAATCGTCTGCCTTCAGCTCAGGTCATGATCCCAGGGTCCTGGGATCGAGCCTCGCATCGGGCTCCCTGCTCAGCGGGAAGCCTGCTTCTCCCTCTCCTACTCCCCCTGCTTGTGTTCCCTCTCTCACTGTCTCTCTCTCTCTCTCTCTCTCTGTCAAATAAATAAATAAATAAATAAATAATCTTTAAAAAAAAAAATAACAATTAGTAACCAATGAAATATTCAGTACAGAACTGTAAAATAAATTAGGAAGTGTCCAATTGATAAATTATACAGCCACCAAAAATAAGGAAAATGACATGACAATGTCAAGCCAAATTACAAAAGGCTCCCTACTACATTTAAACAGTCCCACCTGCAAGCACGAAACAGGAACACAATTTGACAGGCTATGTCACTGGATTATGGGTATTGTTTTCCTTTATTTAAAGGACTATACAACATAAAGCTCTATAGTGACCGTGCATTTTTTTTAAAAGAAAAGAAGATCAAATATGATGGACTAACTCAAAACCAAGTCTTTGAAAAGCAATGTTCCTGGGTAGGGACACGCCGTTGCCCACATCCAGAAACCAACCACCTGCCGCTCTGGGAAGACAGCACCTGACCCAGGCTGCTGCTCTGCAGAGGGATGCTTGTGAACAGGGTGGAAACGTGGGGCAAGTGCCTGGCCAGAACAGTCTGTGGCCTCATTCCCAACATTCATTTTATCAACAAGGCCCAGATTTGTCCACTTTGAGCAGGTACCTAACACATACTTCTATGTTTGATGACAAACTTTCACATAAAAATCTTTTTATTTCTCCCAACAGAAAAATTCAAATGCACCACTATTTCCTTTTCATAATAGAGCAATTCTCAATTGGCAATCAAGTGATATTTTTTAAAAGACAAAATGGTGTTAACCCTGTGGAACATGTGACCAAAAATTATTAAAGGCCCATGGGTGATATCTACCACAAGTACTACGAGACAGAAGATTACTTAAAAAAAGAGCAATTTTCAATAGAAAAACTGAACACTTCCCTTGGGAAACAAATTTAATCTTTTATCATTAAACAACTGGGCAAAGGACCAGGTTTTCTACAAGTGCAATAAGGGGCAAAAGGCTTCCCCAGAGGCCCTAAGAGGACAGGGATGAGATCTTTTCGATGGTTTTATGATGGCAATTATAACCTGCTGGCTGTTTCAGCTCTCGGAAGATGATGTTCTATCAAAAGACTAAATCATACAAAGCACTTACTATTTTCAGTTGCCCAATAACAAAATTTGAAAATAAGAAATTCATAGCATTAAGTCATGTTCATCAAATGCTTGAACAAGCTAGCAATGCTACAATAGAGCAGCTTACTGGTAGACTACGGCACTCTGCACTACTACAAAAATAGTCGTGAAAAGCTAATTTTGCTCAATGTAATGATCACGTTTTACTTTTTGCAAGCCATGTATCTCTCCCTTACATTCTCCCAGTTGATAACATTCCAAATAGCTTTTAGGTAATCCAGTCTGACATTTATATATTGAAGGTAATAAGCATGCTCCCACACATTGATTCCCAGTTGTGGAATAAGACCTGTTGTTCCTTGCAGGGGATCCTGGTTAAAACAAGCAGCAATCTGCAAGCGTCCCTGTTCTTTATTGAAACCAAGACAACCCCAACCTGAGCCTGGGACGCCAACGGATACAGCAGTCAACTCTTCTCCTTAAATTTGTCGAAGGAACCAAAATCACGTTTGATGGCTTCCAGCAATTCCCCTTTGGGTTCTCCACCACCCTTAGGGCTCAGGTTTGTTCAGAAGATGGAATGATTTATATGGCCTCCGCCATTGAACTTGAGCCCAGGCTGAAGAGCTACCTGAGTTGTAATGTCACCCTTCTCCAGCGCCTCTAGATACTTCTCCTCGATGGCATTCAGGTTGTTCATGTAGGTCGCGTGGTGCTTGCTGTGGTGCAGCTGCATGATCTGGGCGTTGATGTGAGGCTCCAGGGCGCCATAATGGTACGGCAAGGCGGGGAGGCTGTGCTTCAGTCTGGAAGCCAGCGACCCCAGCGCCGGCACCAGCGTCCGGCTCATGCTGCGCGCTGCCTGGGACAACATGGTGAGCTACGCCAGCAGGCTATGCAGCAGAGTTGACTGGCCGCGCCGACTGCCCGGCGTACCAAGTCAGTAGCATTTTGAAGGGGGGTAGGGGTAGAGGGAGAGGGAGAAAGAGAATCTTAAGCAGGCCCCACCCTCAGCATGGAGTATAACTTAGGGCTAAGTCTCATGACCCTGAGAACATGACCTGAGCTGAAATCAAGAGTCGGACGCTTAGCCACCTGAGCCACCCAGGCACCCCTCAAAACATTCTTAAGAAACTAAAACTAAGGGTGCCTGGGTGGCTCAGATGGTTAAGCGTCTGCCTTCAGCTCAGGTCATGATCCCAGTGTCCTGGGATCGGGTCCCACATCGGGCTCCCTGCTCCTTGGGAGGCTGCTTCTCCTTCTGCCTCTCTCTCTCTCTCTCTGTCTCTCATGAATAAATAAATAAAATCTTAAAAAAAAAAAACTAAAACTAAATGCAATAAATAAACATATTGGTCTACTTAAACAGGAAATTTTTACCATATTACTTCTTTGTCTAAAACTCTTTAGACAGTGGGCAAGGGCCCACTGTTTATTCATTAAAATTCATTCTCAGTTGGTCTGAAAAGTCTTCAAAGAACTGGACTCCCTAGGTCCCCAGTTTCATCTCCTTCTTCTCCCTGTAATAAACCCTACTCTCAGGTAATACTTAATTGCTAGCGAAACCCTTCTCTCGGATCCCCATTCTCCCAACATTCCACTGTTAAGTGTGGGATTCATGCTATGGTTTATGATTGTTCCCACCTTGAAATGTCTTCCCAAGTTTCTTTGCTCAGCCAACTCTAAACCCAGCTCATTCATCGTACTGCAGCTCAGGCCTCATCTACCCTAGAAAAATCTCCTCAGTCTCCCCGGCGGGGTATAGTACCCTTCTCATTGCTCCTATGGCACCATGTACATGCCTTTACCTTAACACTTACCTTATTTGTTGGAATTTCTATTCGTGTCTTTTTCCAACCCGATAGACTCTTCTAAGGCAGCACAGCACAGAACTTAGCATATAATAGGTGCTTAACAAATATTTGCTGAACTGAAGTTCAAATTCCACTGGGGGATGTGAATACTAATCAGTCAGTGGTTAATTAATATATTTGATATAGGCATTGTAAAATTATGAAATGATTTGCCTCTCAAATAAAAATAATTGGAGAGTCAAGTGGTTTGAACAGCATGCTTCTCAGTCTATTTAATTGCTCTGTCAGCTAAGAATTGTAATTCTAATATGTTCTCTTCTTCTGAAGTGACTGATAATGAGTGGAAACTATGTGATTTCAAGAACAGCTATTATAACATTAATAATACAAGCTATGACCTATTAAAAATTATTCTGCTAGTAATATTAAAATTCAGAGTACTTAAAGAGTCTGATAAATTCTAACATAGATAAAGTGGTGGACTAGGTGAGAAGAGCAGAAAATATCAGATTGAAGATTTTTCCCTTTGCTGCCATCTTTTGGTTGAACAACAGTAGTAAACCACAAGAAGAAAGAAAGGGAAGGGGTACCTCGGTGTCTCAGCTGGTTGAGCATCTGACTTTTGATTTCGGCTCAGGTCATGATCTCAGGGTTGTGGGATTGAGCCCTATGTCAGGCTCCATGCTCAGCATGGAGTCTGCTTGAGATTCCCTCTCCGTCTTCCTCTCCCCACCCCACCCACGCACACCTTCTCTCTCTCTCTCTCTCTAAAAGTAAATAAATCCTTTTTAAAAAAAGAAGGAGTTCCTGGGTGGCTCAGTCAGTTAGGTCATGATCACAGGGTCCTGGCATTGATCCCTGTGTCAGGCTCCCTACTCAGTGGGGAATCTGCTTCTCCCTCTCCCTCTGCTCCTCCACTCCCCCCCCAACTCGTGCTCTCTCTCTTGCTGTCTCTCAAATAAATAAATAAAATTTAAAAAAAGAAGAAGAAAGCAAGGGAAGAAATTTTACTCCTGGCACGGGTAAGGGGACTTCACATACATTATTTCATTTTCTATTCATAGCATTATTCCATAAATATCATCCTCCTTTTGATAAGAGAAAAAAAACTGAGTGTAGCAGACACTGTTGTCATCTTTCCCAAACCAGTTTATGTTCATTATGCAGACAAATCCTTCAGAGGAGTCTCAGTGCCCTCTTAGACTAGGGGATAAATTTTAACTGGCTTGAGCAATCACGGAGTTGTCATTGTGCTTGCCAAGATGAGTGGGTTTGAACAGGAACATGAAATGAAATTTTAGGCAATGGAGGCTGGGGGGTGGGGTGGTGCTTTCAGGAAGGTTATCTTCACTCTTAAAAAGAGTCAAGAAGAGACCTATCATTTTCTACCTCTGGACACTCTCATTCATATGTGACCATGAAACTGTGGCAGCCATCTTGGAATCACGTAGGAAGCCAGCCTAGCACAGCACACCAGTATGTTGAGAATGGCACAATGGAAAGATGGAAAGAACTGGTTGCTTTTCTTTTTTTAAGATTTATTTATTTATTTTAGAGAGAGAGAGCAGGAGCTGACAGAAGGGAGGCAGAGGGAGAGAATCTCCAGCATCGATTCCCAACGCAGGGCTCAATCCCACAAGCCTGAAAGCATGACCTGAGCCAAAACCAAGAGTTGGCCACTTAACTGACTGGGCCACCTGGCTGCTTCAAAAACAGTGATGACATCACTGACCAGCTGTTCTAATTCTAGACTTATTTTTAGTTAAGATATTAAATGTAATTGTTTAAGTCATTTTTATTTTGGATTTTCTATTATTTGCAACCAAAAGCATCCTAACTGATTCACTGAGGTTTAGTAAAATTATTTACAAGTATAAAGATTTGAATCTAGTATATCATGCTACTATCTACCTGTTTACTTCTTGCATACAGAAAAGAAGCAGAAACTCTGAGGGAAGAAAGGTTTAAAATGTAACCTTTCATCTAGCCAACAGAAGGTCCAAATTCCTAAGGAAGGACTGTGTAATCCTTGATTGAATCTTGAAGAAAAAAGAAAAAAGAAAACCATAAAGGACATTATTAGGACTATTGGGGAAATTTGAATACGGACCATATATTAGAAACCAGGAGAGCTTACTATATAGATTTTTTTCTATTTTTTAAAAGTAATCTCCACCCAACATGGGGCTCAAACTCATGACCCCAAAATCAAGAGTTGCATGCTCCATTGACTAAACCAGCCAGGTGTCCCTAAATTCTAAGTTTTCTGAGTGGGGTCATTATATTTAGATGTGTAATAGAACACCCTCATACTTAGCATGTAAAGTAAAATGTTTATTTTTTTAAAAATTTAGAGAAAGGATTCACAATCACTAAGTTTTCTCACAGACATTATTTAAGAAGGGGAGTAGGAAAAGGTTTCTTTCCTTTCCTTCTTGGCAACTGCAAAAATTCATTTTAAAAATTTATCCTTACAAGGATGGATGGAGAAAGTTAAAGCAAATGTGGTAAAAATTTAATGACTGCATCTAGTAAGTGGCATAAGGGTATTTACTGTAGTTTTGCAACTTTTCTAAAGGTTTGAATTTTTTCAAGATAAAAATAAATATGAAGGTATTCAAATACTTAGAAACATGACTCTCGGATTAATACAAAGTGAGAAAGTACCAAAGGTGAATCTAGGTTAAAGGTTTATTTATTAATGAAAGGGACCAACAGGGCAGAAAAACTGGTTCAAAGGAGAATTTGAGAGACTGGATATATATAATCACTGGGGAAAAAGAGATGGCCAGCATATATTTGCTACATTACCTATAAAACTGCTTAAAATGAAAATTGTAACCTTTGGAGTTTATCTTTCCTACTGGACAGAAACCATTTACATTATACAGAAAAAATATCATTTGAAAATTATCCATCCCTCAGGCAACAAACTGAGGGTTGCTGGAGTGGTGGGGGGTGGGAGGGATGGGGGGGCTGGGAGATAGACACTGGGGAGGGTATGTGCCATGGTGAGCGCTGTGAATTGTGTGAGACTGATGAATCATAGATCTGTACCCCTGAAACAAATAATGCATTTTATGTTAAATAAATAAATAAATAAATAAATAAATAAATAAATAAATAAATAAATAAATGAAAATTACCCATCCATTTGACATTTAACTCCAGAGTCTGGGTCCCAGTGGATTGTACAGTCCCCTAGGGCAAGGGCTCTCAAAATGCTCTCTGGAGACTCTTGGGGGTGGGGTGGGCGGGACAGGCAGCTAAAACCCTTTTTAAGAGGTGTGCAAGGTCCGGGCACCTGGGCGGCTCAATCGGTTAAGCATCTGCCTTCGGCTCAGGTCATGATCCCAATGCGGGGCTCCCTGCTCCGCGGGAAGCCTGCTTCTCCCTCTCCCACTCCCCCTGCTTGTGTTCTTGCTCTCACTAATTTTCACTGTCAAATAAATCAATAAACTCTTAAAAAAGGGGGGGGTGTGCAAGGTCAAATTATTTTTATGATAATACTAAGATAAATATATTTGCTTTTTTCATTTTCATCCTTTCACGAGTGTGTGGTGGAGTTTTCCAGAGCCTACATGTGATATTGCAACAGATTGACAACAGAAACAGAATCCATGTGTCTTCTATTAAGCCAGAGATTAAAAAGATTTCCAAAACTTTAAAACAATGCCATTCTACTCACTAATTTATCTTTGGGAAATATAGTTACCTTTTTCTTTTTTTTAATTTACCTATTTGACAGAGATGGAGCACAAGCAGGGGGAGTGGGAGAGGGAGAAGCAGGCTCCCCACTGGGCAGAGAGTTCGATGCGGGGCTTGATCCCAGGACCCCAGGATCATGACCTGAGCCAAAGGCAGACACTTAACGACAGAGCCACCCAGGTGCCTTAGTTACCCAGGCACCCTAGTTACCTTTAAAATATATATTATTTAGGGGCGCCTGGGTGGCTCCGTCATTAAGCGTCTGCCTTCGGCTCGGATCATGATCCCGGGGTCCTGGGATCGAGCCCCGCATTGAGCTCCCTGCCCAGTGGGGAGCCTGCTTCTCCCTCTC